ATAATAATGACTTGATGAATTCTCGATGGCCGTCAATTTTTCACCCCCCAATTCCCCTTTCGACGACAAAAAAAAGGAGCTAAACTCCGGAAATGAAAAAAGACGGTCGTCAGAGGCTTGAAAAATCGATGGCCATTACCACGCAATTTACATTGCAAATGGTAGCGTATGACTACGGTAAAATCGCCAATGAACTGACAAAAAAATGATCGACTGGAATATCACCCGATGCGTGAAAAAAACTGAGGGAAAAACATTGATCAACGGCCCTAGCCATTTTTTTTAATCCTGTCCGGAGGAAAAAATCAGTTTTTCCCGAGATCAAACGGAAATAACAGCGGAAATTGCCGTACGTTCGAATACAGCATCAAAATCAACGACCAGTTGTACCTCGACACATCGTTATGTATTTTTTATTTACAAAGTTGTAAATTGAGTGAAGATCTTTTCTATAAACAATTATTTCACTCAAATCTGCTGGAATAACTATTTATTTGATTCCATAAATTTTCGTCGTTCTCGATTTGAATAATCAGGTAATTTATGTCGGGTAATTACTACGGTAGATAATGACTATACAATTTGATGTTCAATTTATCGTGAACAGGTACCGAACTGTGAATTTTTCAAAGGTTAAACGTTTATCCAGACAAAAGGTCACGCGATAACGAAATATCTCACTTAATTTGTGGGGGAGGGTATGGAAAATTCTAATGTAGAAATATATCAGGGTTTCTTATTGCCCCCAGTCTAATCGAGCAAAATCATCACAGGCGTATCATTCTTTCTGAAAATTTTATGGCCCTGGGCTAGTCACGGAATGGCCCTGTAAACGTTAACTTGTGAATTAATCTTTTCCGTTCAATTTTACACGAGTGAGAATTAAGTTAACGGCACTTTGCCGTTCGTTTGCACGAGTGGTGAAAATTTTTCCGACAAAAATCTTTTACTCCAATGGGGGATAATTGTAATTGGGAGTGGAAATGCCTTGCAATTTCTGGCCGGGACAATTAGGTTAACAGCACTGTGGAAAAAGTGAGGGGAATAAGTACGTGAGGAAAATTATTTGATAATCAGATAGTTATTTTCATTTGAGTGGATATCACGTGGTGCATTCAGGTGATATAGTCTGGTTTTTTGGAAAAGAATTATTCAAATTTTTCCTGGAATTGTTGAGATTTTTTTTCTACTTGTCCCCTTTCTCCCGGATTTTAGAAGAAAAGAACAAATTGCTCACGTAGATATAACGACGCGGTTAAAGAGCCACTGGTTGTATCGCATTTGCACTCGGGGTGCGTGTGAAGTGCCGATAGCTCTGAATAAATCGACTCAATTCACCGCCACGTGATTGCGATGCAATTGTTCCTCTCTTGAGGTAAAAAAATTGTTATCGCGTGCCAACGCCACGGGAATTTTCAGGCCATCGTCACTAAAAATCCCGAATTTTCCGAAGTGAAATCGAACAGAACTGAAAATTTCGCCTTTTCACTAGTTGCCAATTTAAAAAATGAAAAATTTAGAATAAATGTATAATAAATAAATAAATTCACAACATAAATTATCTTGGCTGAATAATTATCTCTAAACACCGATAAAAAATGAATAATTATAATCTTAAGGCTTGGCAAGGCAATTATTTTTTTTTTTATTTCATCAGTACTGAAAAATGAGTTTTACATAAAATAAAAGTAAAATCATTGGGTGTTAAAAATTTCAAGTGTTCCAACGTGAAATTTCAAGATTAATGTTCCAACATATAAAAGCCCGTTATTTACTCAATGACAAATATCATCGGTATTTCGGTTACAATTCAGTTATTTATATATTTCAATGGTCTGGTGATGCTTGCGTGTGGAATAGTGGTAATGAACCATACTGTATAGACATTGGATCAACGCCAAAGTAAACTCACTGTCCGTAGGATAGACATCCCTGATATGACATGCATCCATACACAATACTTCCATTGCACTGCGGTCATGGGCATATGGGCATAAAAACCTCCACTCCAAACCCCCACAAAGACTGAGTAAAAAAACGATAATGTGTCCGGATAAAAAAAACGCAATAAAACAACTATGAAATACCAGCGAGTCCCAAATACTCTTTTATAAATAATAAATAATAATTCGACTCAGCACACTCTGGTGTTAATCACTCAATTTTTGAGTTGCAATTATTTCGGCAAGTGCATGGTTTTGAATTCTGAATTTTGTGAATTTTTATTGAATTGCAGATTCGATCGCTCGCGCGAGGAATATTGAAGATATCCAGAGAATTTTTCAAGACCTCCAGTTCAAGTCGAAGAGACATGATCATAGCTGTTATTCCGGGTCGTATCTCCCTAGATTATTCGATTTAATATCCGGATGCGAACTGCTATTGCACACATGGAGGTCTTCATTCCTGAAGAATATGCCGTCGTAACACTTTATTGTAGGGGATGAAATGACTTTAATGACGCACTCGTTATTCCCGGATTTTTCACAGCTTCTGTGAGATGGGTGTGTTATTAGAAAAAAAATAATAAATCTTGCAGTCGTAAAAGTTAAGGTTTGGCTGATATTAGAGGCATTCAGAAAGTTCCAGGTGTGAATTCTATTCTATTGCTTGAATTTATCTGAATTTCCACTGGATTTTCCCACGAAATTCCGAAATTTTAGGCGGAAAATTGAAAATTGGTGGGAGTGTGATTGGTTAGCGTCGCGATTTTCATGGCAATTACTCGAGTGAATAGTCGATCGTGGAAGTAACCAATCTGGTTACCCGGAATGTCACTTTTCGGATGCTAGGGTTTGGCTCTATTGGAAGCAGTCAACCGTCGCCGAATATTGACGTTCAATTTCAGCGAGTTGAGGGCTTCTTCGAGACTATAAATCAAGGTAAAGTATACTGGGGTATCTCATTGGAATTTATCATCCTCGAGAGAATAATGTTCGAGATAATTCATCATAAATTTCGACAGCTTCGGAATGACATATCGGACGAATTTTTATGGGAATCCAATACAATACAATCAATCCCACTATTCGCCGATATTTCATCGCTTTTCCCCGCCAATGACTAGTTACAAAAGAACAACAATATATTTAAATAAAAAAATAAAAAAGTTTTAACCCAATTGAATTGAAAAATCGACATTTTTGCAGAACTTTTTGCTTTTCTTCTCTCTATTGAAACCGTAAAAGTCATCGGGTAATTGGAATTTGTTCTGATGAAAAATCTCGAGAAGCGACATTTTTCAATCCGAAACTTTTGATTAAGCCGAGACGCCAAAACTTTCACGAATCGCAGGACTAATCCGACCAAACTGAAACTCAAAATCATCCACCAGTTCACGTGTAATCCCAGCATCTCCTCCCGAAACTCAATGACGGGCGAGTGTCGGCGAAAGGGAGGGGTTTTATGCCAGTGAAAAGTTGAAGCTCACTAAGTGGATGAGAAAAAAATATCGTTTGCAAGAGACGGAATTTTTCTCGAGTTGAACTCCAAATGCTAGTTGGGATCAGAGGTAACAGCACCTGTGCGGAATTGCAGAACGCCTTGTGAAACGACTGAGAATGAAAAATAAAAGTGAAATTAATGTAAAGAGGATATTCGCGGTCTGACTAGAATCCACTCCCACTACTTTCACGGATTATTCGTGCAAACCCAATTAGAAAGGATCTGAACGCAAAGAAATAAATTCATTTCTCATGAAAGAACTGATCAAAACTGAACCCATTCGAATTTCAAAAATAATTCACAATAAAAATAATTGAATCTCCGAATTTCATCATTTGACTCTCCCAAGACAGACTAGAATAAATAAAATTCATAATTTTTTAAAATTTTTAAAAATAAAGTTATCTTCTTTGTAACTTTAACAATTACTTGTAATTTTATAATTGTTATTCATGTCTCAATATTTGTGATTCCGTGACGTTTTAACGCGGGTTAGCGTACATCTAGGTACACCGGAGGGTTCGAGTGTTCGAGTGTTAACCAGTGCAGTAATTGCAGCTGATGGTTAAATATCTAGATATCGGGTGATGAATTCGGGGCCAAAAGGCCACAGAGACGCGTTTTCCATCGATAACGCCCCGAGAAGCATTTATATTAAATTTTCGGACGAGGAAGCCACGCGAATTCTAGGATCTCGCCGTCAACTGGCTTCAATGAAAATCCAGCGCATATTTGCCCGCAAAATATTCTGTAATAATAATTTCAAAGTCTCAGTGACGCACTCGGACACAGAATATCGATTCGCACTGCAGGACATCGAGTAAAAACAATTTCCTCTGGTGAATATATTTCTTATAAAAATTTTACGGCTTTTTTACTGAAAATTTCAGGGAGGATTTTCTCATGGGAAAATTGTTCTATTTTTTTCGATTGTTTTAGTGAATTGTCGGGGATGTTAATTATCGTGATTATTCTGGACGACTCGGGGAAAATTCAAAGGGTCTATCATCGTCCTCTCGTCTTCATCATCCTCATCATCTTCTGAACGAGATATCGGGTTCAAACTCGCTCTCTCAAATTGCGCATTTCGATCCCTGAAGGTAAAGACGAGATGAAAATGCCCTCCCTCGCCCGAGAAAAGGACCTGATTCTGCGGAGTAGTAGATTATCCTCTATTCTTACCCGATGAATCTACCTCGGGGCATGTACATATATATTATGTGCTCGAAACAGCTCCAACAACAATATCCCACCATCAGTTATCAAGACAGACGACTGGTGCTTCTGATAATGAATTTTCAAAAATCCCGGGCATAAATTATCGCCAGAGTCCGGGGATCCCGGGTAAATTCGTATCGACGTTCATAAATCGTTTGCCGTCAATATAATTTCAGGGGAAATTATGTTTGCAAAACCGGAAGAGGTGATAAGAGCGGACCATCGGTAAATATTTCTTCGCACTCTGAAGAATTTTTTTTCAATTTGACATTTGGAAAATTTTAGGGAGAAAATTTATTCAGGGACTCGATTCATTATCGGTAATTTACGGTACTTACTCTCTGTGCTTTTCTCTTGTCTGCTCGCTGATTCTGATGATAAATTCGGCTGAAGTTACTGACAATGACAGGTACTGGAAGAGCTATCACCAGTACTCCGCTCAATGAGCAAACTCCACCCACCACTTTTCCAGCGATCGTTTCAGGTACCATGTCGCCATATCTGCAATAAAAAACAATTACACTCATTAATTCAACTTCAATTACAATTTGTCATTTGTTAAAACACTTGATTGCTGAAAATTACCGGAGAATACTGGAAATTATTCCAAACATTTGATTGACAGCGAAAATTAAATTATGCACAATAAAGCAGAAACATGCCAATTAAATCTGCTACGAATTAATTCTAATTATAATGATCCCAATAATCATACCAATCAATAATTATAATGTATAATTAATTTTTTTTTAGGAATAATTGTAATTAGGAGTGGACGTGTTAAAATGGCAAAAATCAAGAGGAAAATTATTACAAATTGTCGAACCGATTGATAAATATTATTGTTCAGGTTTGGTACCCGTAATTTTTCATCTCATTTCCGCGTAACTCAGGGCCACATCTGGTGCGCTATCATTCGAACGAAATAAATTTAACCGCCAGTATAAACCGAGAAGAAAAAAGTCGTGAACAGGCCGATGACGTGACTCCCAGTGGGAAAATTCACAATGTGTGACTAACGACAGGACCATGTGCGATACAGTAACTTTATTTTATCCTCCAGCACCGATCCATAGCACTTCCGCTAACAGGAAAAGAGTGGATGATAATTTTTTTACTGCTACCCGTAACTTTCAAAGGAACTGCCTCCGAATGCTTTTATCCCCGAGGCTCAGTGTTTCATTCCAAGATTTTTCTTTCATTTCCCGTGGATTTACTCTCGAGGGAACAAAAAAAAATATTTTCTTATGAAACTTCAGACGAACGCGTAAAAAATCCCGGGGACTGAGTGAAAAGAGAATTGCGCTGCTTCCTTTGCGTAGTTGATTGTCATCTCTCATTATTTCGTAAATGCACGGGGGGAGAAAATTCAGAGGGAGTTTTTTAGGGAGGGAAATTGAATAGTGGGAAATGGAGCAGCTGGTCGATTGTAAAAAGATTGTGGCATCCAATCGGAGGATAAAATTCATGCCTCTCAACTTGATTAATCGAACATTCTTGGTTCGTTGCTCTCTTTTTGTTGGGATTCTCTCGGGATGAGGACTCAAGTGGGTCAGGAGGTTTGGGGTAAAATTAAGTTATTCTGGGGTGAATCCCGGGGACATCCATTGATGATAATTAAGAGACATTCCAGATCTCATGGTAATTCAATTTGTCGAAGTGAATTATCGCCAGATTTCAATACCAGATTGTCCGGGGAAAACTTCTGGGTGAAGACATTTGCATGTGGTCTACACCAGATTGAGGATTTAATTGCAGAATTATTTTCTTGTCGATCGAAAAATCATCGATTGAGTTGATAAACGGAATTGTGTCCGCTGGCAAAATTAAAGTATTTTATTCTCTGATAAAAATAGTGGAAATAATGAAAATAATGGAAATAATGGAAATTGTGGAGATGATGGAGATGATGGAGATGATGGAGAAGATGGAGAAGATGGAGAAGATGGAGAAAATGGAGAAAATGGAGAAAATGGAAGAGATGAAGAAGATGAAGAAGATGAAAATGTTGGAACATTGAAACACTGAAAGGCAATAACAGAATGATTTCTGACATGTGTAGAGGCGATGTGGGTCGGATTTAATAGCAGGATTGATGACGAGCATCAGAATGGCACTCGCGTAATCACGACTGTGCCCGCGATACCTCGAATTAGTGTGCCACGAATGGCAAATTCCCGAGTGAGTACATTGGTGAATTGGTTGTGTTGATGTCCTCGTCGGTGAGTACCCGACTTAATTCAATAACGGATGCTCGCCGGGGTCGTCAGGAGTGCCGATCAGCTTGGAATGGTACAACCAGCTTCCGATTATCATTCGTTCCCTCATCCAACCGGATATCCATCCAAAATTCTTCCAGGCACTGAATTTTCACTCGTCCCAGTCAAAATTACAATATCCATCAGGAACCCGTCGATTCAAATAAATCGTGACGACGAGAATATCTCAACTTCAAACAGACTCCCCAAAAATTGACGCAGAAATTAAATTTGCTGCCTTCTACGTATTATTAATTGCTTCCACTCCTCGTTGAGCATCAGATTTAATGTATGCGTTGAATTCCTGGGGTTCACAAAATATGTGAAACGAGTCTTCACTTTGGTCTCCACCTCGTGCGGTGGAGAATGCAAAAAAAAAAAAGTACTTCAGTGCCTCATTTAGAAGCTGGAGAGGCGTGTAAAGTCTGTTAAAAAGGTGAAAAAAAAGTTGGGTGGCTCTTCATCATCCTAGCACACGTTGGATAGTCTTGGGTTGCGAGACGCTCCAGTTAATAATATCATTGAGAACGTGCCAGATGGATGATCATCATTTCATGAGGTGAACAGAAGGCCTCATGATTTCTGGGCCCCTTTGTCCGATGCAAGGTGACGACAACGGAAGTGGTTTCGGCATCTCAAACATAACTTCCGCTATTTGTCAAGGTTTTATTATTACCTCCTCATCCCCCTCATCCCCTTCGTCCCCCTCGTCCCCCTCGTTCCCCTCGTCACCCTCATCACCCTATTTCCCTCGTTTCCCCTCCTCATCCTCTTGCCCTTTACCCGTTGAATAATTACACTTGAACTTGAAATTTTCATCTGTCAATCAGATAATTTCTTGGATAATTTGAAATGGAATGTCTTTTTGGATTGAGGAAAAATTAAAACAATTTTGTTAAACTATCGATAAGTTGTTCAATTTTTCGAGGAAAAGGGTCGTAAGAAAATGGAAGAAAATCACTGGGGAAATATGAAATATGGAATAAAATGTGGACGACTTTTTTGTTGGTTTCTTGAGAGTAAAGAAAACTGGCCTTTGATGGGGCCTTGATCGCACCGTTGAGCAATTGAAGAGGTGTTTTCAGCTGGAGAAAAGTGAGAAAAATGGGTTCGAGGGGTTGAAAAATAACGGGTGAAAAAATAGCGACTAAGGGCTGAAAGCTTTTCACCGATTATCAGCGGGCGATTTCACTCGATCTGTTTCCTCTCGTTTCTTCTGTGATTTCTTCGGGTGGAATCGACATTTTCCAAATGTCAAATCTCATCGAATGAAATAGGAAATAAAAACTCAAAAGCCCCACTGTCCACCGCAACCAGAATTTTCATTTTATTTCCGTTCCACCGAGATAAAAAAAAAACACACAAATCTATAAATTGAAAAATTGGACTACCGGAAATAATTACTAAAAAAAAATAAATATGAGAGAGAAATACAAAGTTGTACATTTCTTGGTGATATTTTTACCGATCTGTTGACAAATGATATCGACTACAAAAATATTTAGACGTGATATCGCGGGTGATGGACCTGGTGGAGGTCGATGTTGACGAAGAAGCCTTCAGTAAAAATAAAGGAGTGTACGTGAGGAGTGATGGCAGGTCGGGGAAAAATGACTTCAAAGTTGCAAGTATGGTGAAGTAGAAATGGGGAGGTGGGGTGGTGATCTGGTGAGAGCCAGAAGGCATGCCGGATTTGAATGTCTATCTTTAGAGCAGTACTAGGTGTAGTACAAATATAACAGAGAGACTAGAGACGCGTGGCGCGATGATTCCAAATGCGTGTCGAGGGGATTTACATTCGGCATAAGTATAATGCAGGAAATACTGAACTTGTCTGCTGACTATTTTCAAAAAAAAAAATTTCAATTCGCAAAATTTCCTCGACTTCTCAGATTTTCAGTAATTTACGCACGAACTATTCTTGTGAAAGAACTTGATTTTTTTATTATAATTATTCATCATTATTATTAATATTAATTTATCGATAATTTCCAATTACCGCTTCCGTCAATTTTCTGAGTATGGAAATATTTAAAAAATTATTGTAAAGATTTTGTGTACACAAAAGAGATTGAATATTATCGTTAAAAAAATTAAATTTATTTGTTTGTCGTCTGCAATTTCGCTTGTATTGTTTTTGTTAATACGAGAACTAGTTCAACTGCTCTGGGTACCTGAACAACACCCTGAAGGGCTTAAATACCCCGAGAGGTAACAATGTATGTAGACATTTATGTACACTGTAATCGGTGAAATAATCGTGGATATAGCCAACTCCAATGGCAATTCCCGAGTGAGAGAATGACTGTATTACGAGGACTTTTTATTTTTCTCTAGGTACCGCCCCATCCGCATTCAAAATTATTCCGTAATTTTGCTAAAAGCCTCAGTCGGATGGAAGTCACGGGGGGAAAAGCTTTTTACTCTGGAATAAAAAAATTATGAAAAGTTTGGGGTTAAATTCTGGGGTGAAGCGAGAGAAGCTGGAGATTCCGTTGAACAATGGAATTTATGAACAATTCTCGGGAAAAAAAAAATACTTCACTGACATTCTCGTAATTTAGTCCGAGTGATTTGTACTGCATTTTTTTCTGTGCTCTTGATAATTCATAATTTCCATTAATTCCGTGAGAAATGAATTACGTCATGTGAAATATTACGTTATTCAAACGCGAAAGAGGGAAATGAATTTCCCGACGGACATCATAGAGGCTGCTAATCTCATCGGAAAGCCGGGGAAAATTTACCCGGGAAAACTCAATATTGCGGGCTTTTTATCTCTCGAATTACAGGGAACACAACGGAATTAAGTTTTCGAGGGTCAAGCGTTTTTATTAACAGCCCGAGTACTTGTTCTAACAAAAAAAAATCATCAATTACACTTGAGAAATTCTATTTCCCCGTGATCACAACCTTTTCAACTTCGATAATAAAAAACGTACTTGGATTTTCCAATCAGCCTTTTTGCGAATGCCTCGGAGAGGAAAATGTATTTTCGGAGCATTACCCCGTGAAAACCTGACCTAATTGAGGTCATACGCGACAATAACCTTTTGAACTCGAAAAATTCACAGCTGATCTGCGCTCATACTTCAGTTGAACAATTACTTGCACGTAACGGAGTAACAACCCCAACGATAACAACGTCATTAGTCTGGTGTATGAAGTGACTGAACAAAATCTCTCGAAATAATTCAAACTTCATGTACAGTGCAAATCGGTCTGGGGTTTACACACAAACAT